GGTTTTGAGCTGCCTAACATGATGCTGGAAACAGAATTCACGTGCTCCCTGAAGGACAACATACTCTTAATTGTTAACCCATCTTTCCAGCCACTTTTATAGTATTATAATCCGTATCTCAATCTCAACTCAAATGTTTCTCGAGGTAAAGGGCTTATTTTACTCATTTTTGGAGAAATAGTGACCAAATAGCTAAGCTTTAAAGCATTATTTCTTTGTCATTATTTCAAGTAAAAACAATGTCTCTTGAATAAAACCCCTTATGGTCCTTTATGTCAGGTGATTGCCCAGCTCCTCCTCACACTTCAGTGCAGAGCACAGTTGCTCCCAAGTCATCTCATGAGACATTAGTGAAGAACCTTAGAGTCATAACTTTACCCCCTTTACAAACATAACTACTACACTTTGGGGCCATTGTCTTGATTTCTGCTGTTTTATCCACTTGAACCCTTGCACTGTTAGCATAAATGTCAACCCAGTAAAAACAGTGACTAGAACACAGGATGCTACCCTCATTTTTTGAGAATTATATATCACACAGGCGAGGCAGACCTCACAGACTAATTTATTGTTATAAATCAATCCTGACATACTCTTTTCTTTCTCTCCCACACTTACTGCTCGCCACTCTCACCAGTGTTTCTACCAGGTGTCCTGGCACAAGAAAATTTCCTAGCCAGATGCACCTGATTCTCACCCTTGCTGGGTGAGATTGTGAGTCAGACAAAACTTTCACCACTCACCTAGTCTGGGGAATTATGTCATGGGAATGCAAATTGGACCAAGATAATTTTAGAGTAACAAAATTATTTTTCTGTTTTTCTGTTTTCTTGTCACTCTTGTGTTTTTAAACACGATTACACATAACTTATTGGTGATAATAAAATAATTGCTATGTGACTAAAATTTCACAACATAATTTAAATGAGATAATAAATACTTTAAGAAAACATTTATAGATTTGTAGAAGGTGACATATCTATAATTGCAAGAGCTATATTCTATTTTTCAAATAATATATAACACAGAGAAGTATTTATGAGTCCACTGGCTTCTGGTTTTGCCTGTGTTAGTTACACAGTACAGAGAACACTGACTAAATGTCAGTTCTTGCTGGCTGTTGCTAGGGGGCAGCATTTACTTAGCTACAGACAAGTCCATTGCCAAATCAGGCTTGCATCTGATCCGGAGAATACTCTGAACATAGACAACATATTATTGATTTTTTTTTTTTGCTTCTAACTTGAATAATCATGTATTTTTGTGTTTCTAATGAAGCATTTCAATACTTAGAGTCATTAAAAATAAAATTTACTATTCAAAAGTATCTTATTCCAATATCTTTATGTATATTAGACTATTTTAAACTATACTAATAGTTTGAAAAATTGTTTAAGACAAAGGATATGAATTAAGCTGGGGCCTCATAGAACAAGTCTGTCATCCCAGCTACTTGGGAGGTTGAGGCAAAAGATTCAAAAGCTAAATGACTTACCTTTGTTAAAGAGGGTCTTGGGTTTGGAAGCAGCCTACACAACTTAGTGAGATAAGTCTGAAAATAGAATGTTAAAAGAAGGCTAAGGATATATTTATGTCACAATGCTTTACTGGCTTTGAACTCAATATCCAAGTCCAAAACACCCCCTCAAAAAATAAATTAAAAAATAAATATTTTAAAATTAAAAAATAATGTAGAAACAATAGGAGAATTATGTTTCACATAGTATCATTATATTTTCCTGGTCTTAATTTTATCGGTAAGAAGTATCTGGTACTAGTAACCTTACCTCAGGGTCACTGAGTTATCTTAAATATGTTAATTGAATCTGGATTATCACTGTTCTAATAACATTGGAATAAGTTTCACTCTCCTAATTGTAAACACTTTAAAAGTAAGTGTTATTGAAGTATGTGTCTTATAAAGTAGATTTGATGATGCTTCCAATACTCCTGCTATTTAATATCAAAATATTCTTCGCAATAGAGGAGTTAGAGATTGGGTCCTTTCCTCATCCTTTAATGCTTTTTTGAACACTTCTCAGGAAAGTAGAATCTTAGGAGTATTTGGTTTTAAATTCTGGATATCTCCATTTTGTATTACCTTCATTGTTGAAACTGATAGTTCAGTGCCTGTTAATACTATGTATTATTCTCTTCCCTGAATACATTAAAGGGTAAAGACAAAAATCTGTGCCTTCATATTTTTGTGGAACTATATGATAAAAGATAAATAATGGGTCTGGAGAGGTAGTTTGGTAGTTAAGAGCTCGTGCAGAGGGCTCAAGTTCTTTGTTCAGCACCATATGGTGGCTCACAATAACTCCAGTTCAGGGGATTTGACTCTCTCCTCTGGCCTCCAGGTACTTGGACAATATACATATTGAGAAAATTCTTATACATAAAAATTTTAATATATACCAGAGATGGTGAAGGAATCCACTGTAAATGGAGCCCAATGAGCAAATATGAGGTCACATGACAGGAAATGGAGGGAAGAGGACTTCTAGTGTTATGGATACATCATCACCACTGGCTTTATTTTAGCACCCAAAAAAAAAAAAAAAAGGATTTTCAATAGAATAGTGACTCCCATTGTAACATCGCAACAAGATCGTTCTGACATCTTAGTGGATGAAATCCAAGAACAGAGAAGGACAGAATGTCATAGGTTTGTTATAGCTATGGAACAAGAAGGGCATGAGATATGGCAGCTTTAATCTGGATATTAGCAATAGTGGTAATGAGGAATTTTCACTAGTCACAGATAAGTATTTTGAAAGTAGGACAGCAAGACTGCTGGTGGCAGATACATGGTGTTTAAGAAGAGAGGAGTTCTGAACAATTGCAAAATTGTTTTTGTCTTAGCAAGCAGAAGGAAAAGGTGCTCTTAACCGGATGTAGAAATATATGTTTAGAGTACAGAGTTTGGAGGAAGTCTCAAGAGTTCAAGTGAAGATAGATCGATGGATGGATGGATGGATGGATGGATGGATAGATAGATAGATGGATGGATATAGATGATAGATTAGATAGATAGATAGACAGACAGACAGACAGATAGATGATAGATGTTTGACATATACACTGAGATATAAATAGGCATTTTGAAATGTATGTTTAGAATTTATGGGAGAGGGCTTGGGGTAGAGTTGAAAATATGCCAGTGTTCATACTACAATTAGTATTTGAAGAAAAATAGAAAAAAATAAAGTTTCTAGAACCCAAACTGTAACAGTCCTGCATTTCAAAACCAGAAGGATGAAAAAAATTAAGGGGTGGGGGAGCAAGCAAACAAACTAACAAAAAGTGGATAATAAGAAGAAAAATAAAAAGTTAGAAGAAAGAAAAGAAGGTGCATATGTTGTCTTGAAGCCAAATAAAGAGAAAATGTGTTCTCATAAAGTGGGAGGGGTCAACAATGTCTGACCTTACTGAATGGTTTAAAAAAAATAAAGATTTAATAGCATGAAAGTCATCAATGTCCAGGACACAGTTTCTTTGGTGGGTACCGTCAATAGCCCAATTGGAATGAAATGAGAAACTACAAAATGAGTAAATGTTGCTCTTTACTCTTAGCTCCATAGGTCTTAGAACTATGACTAACCTAGTCACCCTATCCTGTGTGTCTGCCAACAGTCTTGGCATGTGTTAAGTGTTCAGTCCATGTTTGTTGAATGAATGAATGAATGAATGAATGAAGAGTGAAGTAGCCTTTACCCACACATTACCATCTTGATAAAAGAAGTCATCAGCTTTTACAGCCTTGCCATTAATGCCCTAGCCACTACCTCTGCTGTTGTGCCACGTAACTACAAAGTATTTCAGTCTCTTTAACACATCTCGTTCCTCTGCATGCAGAACAAACACTTTATGTTGGATGATGAACAGAAGTGCTCAGAATGAATTATGCAAAGTGTAGTAGTAGCACTAATGAAATTTATCCAATGATTCTTAGTGACAAACAATTGACTCTCATCAAAATGGTCAGTGGTAATATAATTGATGCTATGTCCTTAAAATAAAGGTCAATGTGATTAAATCACCCCATGTCCTTAAATTTAAATTATGATACAGAATTTATACTTTCCTAGATTGCATTATTTTGTATACTGCACACTAATTGCTTTGAAGCCACATATCATTCTGAACTCCCTTTGTTACTTTTGCAACATCTCTGGAAAGAGTTCTCAGCCTGTCAGCTCAAGCCAGTGATGATGTGGAAATCAGTGATCATTGTTTTGTTATAGTATTTATATTATAATGAACTGGCCTTTTGATAGCATACATACTCTGTGTATACAATGCCAAGATGGCAGGCTACTCCCTCATAAATGTATAATTGATAGGTACAAGTAGGGTGTTTACCTAAGTAGGTAGTCTAAGCCTTTAATTGTAGCCTGCATTCACTCACAAATTATCTTTATTTTTAAGACTTGCTATCAATAGTCCAATCCAAGTTCAGGAACAGATGAAATGAAATGCCCAACTCAAGCAGAGAGGCAGAACAAAGAGGGCAGGTTTATTCTTCCTTCACCCCTTCTCTACAGGGTCCTCAGTGGACTGGGTAATGCCTACTCATACTGGGAGAACAGTCCACGTAGCACTTTTCAAAAGTTAGTTCCACCTGAAAACATACTCAGAGAGGCATCCCAAAATAATGTGTACTCACTTATCTGAGTATCCTAATAGTCTGTCAACTTGACACCAAAGATTAACCATCGTAAGGATCTTTAAAATCTGAAAAATAATTTTTCCATAGCTAAAACTATGCACTTAAAATATTTGTACTATTATTGCATTTGATTTGGCCATGGTCATAAGTATACTCATTGGAAAATATAATAATGTATTTGTGATAATAACTTTAGTTACCTGCATTTTTTCATGTTTTTTAGTGGAATATAACAAAACTTTTAAACCATTAAGCTTGGTGATGATCATTCTAATTATGCCTTTTCTGTTCTCTTTGTCCATGTCCTGTGCTCCTGGTCTGCTCCCAGCTCTACGCCATCCCTTGGTTTCTTACCATGTTCACTCGTAAGTACCATTTCTTACCATTTCCCCTTTAGTGTTACCTAAAGCGCCTCATTCTTCCTCAGAATTTAACGTTTATGAGAATATTAAGTAAATGTAATGTGCATCTTTATAAAATTCAGACATGATGTAATTTATAGACAGTGATTCCAAGTGTTCTGGCCTTGAAAGTTAAAAAGAACATTGGAAAGGAGTAAACTCTTCTCATGTCATACACAGCTTTATTTCTTCTTAAGAAGAGAATTCAGCATCAACTCTAGTATTTACAGCAAGCCTATGAGGCCAGTTTTCAACTGAATTGGCTTGCTTTCTAGATGTTCTTTATTAACTCGTGGTTTTACTCCCTAACTGGGACTCCTCTAGAGATTAATTATATATTATATGACTATGTCGTGCTTTAATGAGTTATAGTGTGGCTATAATGGAAGGGGACATCCATGCTTAAACGCAGTGCACATACATGAACTGACATGAAACAGTCTTCCTGCATGGACATAGAAAGATAGTCACAGTACTATTAAGTGAAAAAGAAGTTACTTTTTTAATTAATAGAATTTTGATAGGAATTTAATAAAGCAGTTGTTATATGATGCACAATGGAAATGTTATAGGTTCTTTTACAAATATAAACTTGTGTGGATAATGTTATTGAAAGTTCTGGGAGAAATTCTGAAATACACATAAATTGTTAATGGGAGTCAGAAAATATAATGTCTGACCAATCTGCTAACAGTTTACTAAAGGAAGCTGTAAAATTAATAGAATCAGGAGCTAGAGAATTGGCTGAATCATTAAGAGAACTCACTGCTCTTGCAGAGCACCAGTTTGGTTCCCAATACCATTATTGGGTGCCTCACAGCTCCCTGTAATTCACTCTTGAGGAGGTCTCATGTTCTCCATAGACTGACCCATAGACACTTGCATGTATGTGCATGTGCATATACACCCAAACACACACACACAAGCATGCACAAATAAAAATATTTGAAAAATTTACAGTCACGCATTTTATCAACACAGTTTAACACATTTGCTCTTAAACAACAGCCTTGACCTTGAAGTAATAATAGTCCTATATCTAACAGTGCAGCTATTTTATTTTTGAGAAATTTGGTTTTTGTTTAGATACATTTTTAAAACTTTCTACAGATGTATTTCCATTGCACAAAATTTTCCACCTCTGGGATACATTGCTACTTGGAAATTCCTCTTTCCCGTTCTGTATTGGAGTAGCCATCCTCCAGCAGCTGCGGGACCGGCTCTTGGCTAATGGCTTCAATGAATGCATCCTTCTCTTTTCTGACTTACCAGGTATGTGACTGAATGAAGCAATCACTAAATGCAATTTTGGCTGTAAAATAATGTGCTATCTTAGCAATTTGAGAAAATCATTCAGCCTTCAGAATCTCTTCTGCCCGGACCCTATTTTCACTGGCAGGACAATCAGTGCTGTTTGCTAGCCCAGGAATGCAGAAACTAATGTGGGTCATACTAAGCCACTGTGGATTATTCCCATCACAGTATTGCCACTAAAAGGGGAAAAGGTCATGGCTGTGGGGGAGTAACATATTTACCCTTTGCTTCGGACTCGGCCATTTATCTTCAGCTGATGGAGAGTAAATAAAGGCCACTCAGGAAGGTGTTTGAGAATGTGTTTATATAAGGGTGGTATTCACATGGAACTTTGCTCCCGCCTAGACACAGCTGCTTGGTAACAACTTGACAGTTTAAGAACAGGAAGCACTGTCCTTTTAGGAAAACAAGTCAAACACTATAGAAATACATTATGTAATAGAAGATAGTGACTAAGCTGTGTAAGGTATTCACAAGGGGAAGTTCCAAACCCTTGGGCAGAATGTTCGATGCAAAACTACGGAAGACAGCTATGATTTGATTCTTGATGCTGAAAAGATAAAGTTTATGTGGACTACCTAAGATGTAATATATCTATAAAGTTAGGAAAACTTATTTATGAATAAACTAAATGTTAAGATACAAAATTTGGGCTGAAGAAAAGACTCAGCAGTTAAGACGACTTGTTGATCTTGCAGAGGACCCAGATTTGGTTTCCAGCACTCACAGGGTGACTAACAACCACCTGTAATTCCAGCTCTAAAGGATCCCATGCCCTCCTCCTGCCTCTGTGGGCACCAGCACACATGTGGTGCACATGCAGGCATGCAAACAAACACTCATAAAAAATAAAATACAAATAAATACAAAAATTTTACTTTTTCACAGAAAATTTCAGGTACCATGATTTTTTGCTGGTTCTACTGCTGCCCTCCATATTTTCAGTCAGGCACAAGAGTGTAATAGCAAGAACAGTTAAAATTGTCCAAGATAAAGTACCTAAAACCAAACAAAAGACTAATGATCACAGGCTTGGAGGTTATATATTTATTAAGGCACATTTAAGAGAAATAAGGGCTGGTTGGTGGTGGTGCATGCCTTTAATCCGAGCACTTGGGAGGCAGAGGCAGGCAGATCTTCGTGAGTTTGAGGCTAGCCTGGTCTACAAAAGCTAGTTCCAGGACAGACTTCAAAGCCACAGAGAAACCCTGTCTCGAAAAACAAAAACAAATAAAAGAGAAATAAGGAGTCTACCTTTGCTTATGTTTAGTATATACTTTCTACTTACCACCTTTCTGTTAAAAAAGTCTTCATCCTTTAAGAGCAAAAATAATCAAATGCATTGGAATAATTTAAAATTCTCCCCCTTTTTTACAAATTAAAATATCTTCTAATTCATCAAATTTAATTAAAATAAGCTATTTCTTATATTAACAAATAATTGTTCTTATATTAATAAATAATAGGGTTTTATTTTTCAGTTGTTTTCTTGGTGATGGTGAAGAATCAAGGTTCTGTGGCATTTGGGAAGTTGGTCTAAATAGGAACAAAGAAGCAAATTTCACAAACTTAGAAGCTGTGTCCCGCATATGTTTTCTTGTCTCCCCCAGCTTGCCAAAGTAAAACAGGGGATGACTGATTAGGATTAAAAGAATTTCTTGGTCAGTTATAAAAATAAGTATATTGGAAATGCTGATTGTGCAGTTTTCAAATCAAGTAAACTGAGTTGCTTTCCTTCCAAGAATAAGTGTTCTCTTAAATGCTGGTGAAAGTGCCTGTGATAGTGTCTTGTGTGCAAATTAGTGACCACTGCTAACACAACTCCTACAGTTTTTAAAAACCTCTGAAGTTGGAAGGTTAGCATTCACACTTGTTCAAACCAAGTAGTTGAGAAGGTAAACTTCTTGAAAACAGGATGCTTTCTAAGGTCGTGAACTGCCCTGGTCCACTGCTGTTTTTCTTGCTCATCACTATTTATTGTCACTGTATATGATTCTTGTTCCAGAAAAACTAGTAAGAAATACATGACCTTCCTAAAGAAGCATAAAAGGTTTTGATACAAACTTTACCCTTAAGTAATCCATGTTTTTTATCATATTGTACTAGGGTGGAATGTTTTTCTCACATAGATTTAAAGAAATTTCATTTTTCAGCATATTGTATTCCCCGACTATGACTGAAATACTTTGGAAGTAGCCATGGGAAGCCCTAAAATTTGAATGCAGATACACACACACACACACACACACTAACACATTCAAAGTGTTAGATGATATAAATGTTGAGCACTTTTTGAAACAAATTGTTTTTCTCATCTACCTACAAACGATAGATGGGCTAACTGTATTGTACTTCTAATTTTAAGGGCTGACTCTACATTGAATTTAGCTCACTATGTTATCTTGCAGGGAAATCTCAAAGAATTTTTAAAAGTAATCAGAATGAATTAACTACAGACTGGGATGAACCAAGTTCACTATTCTAGATCTTATTCATAATAGTAGAGAACTCTTCAGTGGCGTGTTGTAAACAGAAAAGTCATCAGTTTTAGCTCCTTCTGCAAAGAATGTCCCAGTAGCCAAGTGGTTAAAAGTGTGGAACATGCTGCCAGGTCAACCTGGTTTGTTCATGTCACAGCATATTAGTTATGTGTACTTGCTAGTTTTATGTAACTTGACACACACAAGCATAATCAGAGAGATTGGAGCTTCAGTGGAGAAGATGCCTCCATAAGACCATGTCATAGGCAAACCTGTGGGGCATTTTAATAAATGGTTTAAGTGGGAGGGCCCAGCCTGTGTTGTTGAGAACACTCTGTTCAACTTAATTTCTCTTGAAATAGGCTCATTTCACACTGTCTTGGTAGGGTTTCTGTTGCTGTGAAGAGACACCATGACCACGGCAACTCATAAAAAAAAAATTTAAATGAGTGGCATACATACAGTTTCAGAGGTTTGGTCTATTATCTTGGCAGGACATGGCAGCATGCAGGCAGACATAGCGCTGGGGAAGGAGGTGAGAGTTCTACATATTGATCTGGAAGCAAAAGGAAGTAGACTGAGACACTGGGTGAGGCTTCAGCATATATGAGAACTTAAAGACCAGCCGCACAGTGAAATACTTACTCCAAGAAGGCTATACCTACTCCAACAAAACCACACCTCCTAATAGTGCCTTTCCCTGTGAGGTTATTGGGGCCAATTACATTCAAACCACCACATTCCGCTCTTGTCACCATAAGCTTGTAACAAAATGCATTTAGTCCAACTTTAAAAGTCCCCATAGTTTATCAGAGTCTGAATAATGTTTAAAAGTTCAAAGACCCTTTTGAGATTCATGTAATCGCTTGTCTATAATCCTCTATAACATCAAAAAACAGATCACATATTCTAACATATAATGGCACAGGATATACATTACCATTCCAAAACATAGGAGCAGAGCACAGTGAGGAAATACTGGACCAAAGCAAGACCAAAAACCAGCTGGGCAAACTCCAAATTCTGTATCTTCGTACCTGGTGTCAAAATGCTCTTCAGATTTCAATTCCTTTCAGCTTTGTTAACTGCAATACATTTTTTCCTCTTGGGCTGGTTCCACTCCCTGTTAGTAGCTTTCATTGGCAGGAATCCCATGGGTTTGGCATCTTCATCACTGGTGTCTCCAAGGCAATCCAGGCTTCAATTTCAGATCACACAGCAGCCTCTCTAAGCTTCCATTCAGGTATACTGCTGCCCTCAATGGCTTTCCTTAATCATGAAGGCAAATTCCATAGCCCTTTTCTTCTATCCTTAACTCTAGAACCCCTTGACCAGAGCTGCCAAATTCTCTGCTTACTGAGGCTGGAACATGACCCCCACATTCAATTATATCTTTTCCAGTTTTTGGTTTTCATTGGTTTCCTTCACTGCCTATGCTTGGCTGTCCTGAAACTGGATCTGTAGACCAGATTGGCCTCAAACTCAGAGATTCACCAGCCTCTGCCATCCAAGTGCTGGGATTAAAGGTGTTGCCACCACACCACACCACACCCAGCTCTTAGCAGAGTTGTGGGGTTCATTCACTGTCAAGAACTATTAGTTAGCAAGAAGCCCCTCTAATGTATGGACTTGAAGGGGGGTTCATGGGGCTAGAAGTGGGAAAGCACTGAGTCAGTGGAAGGAGGTCTCTCATTCTGCGTAGGTGACCTCAGACGTCCCTTTTAAAGGTCTCTGCTCAGTAAAAACACCCCCAGTAAAGGGGCTTGCACCTAGAATGCAGATATGTATAAGATGGGGCTAATACCGAAATGGTTAATTAATAACATTTTTAATTTATCTTAATACCTTTATTGGCTTTTAGTTTGCGTTTTGAATTATATACCGGTCATTTCTCTAGAGACTATGGTCTCCAGCTGACTGCAGTTTACACAGAGTTGATACAGTATGACTTGGTGGGAAATGTACGACTTTTGTAGGAGTGCTCATTTCGCTGACCTTCTGTAATTTGCAGTGGTGTTAATATTTTCTAACTACACTTGTAATAGCCCTTCAATGTATGTGACGTTAGTGTTCACAGCTGTCTAGTGAACATACTAGAGGAGCCACAGCGAGTCTTCTCAGTGTTTACCACAGTTGCTGCTCTTCGTTGTGTCCGATAATTCAGGGTTGCCTTGTCTGTGGCCCATGGCAGTTTGACTGTTGTCGCTCACTGTAGTTCTTTGGTTTTCCTTTAAGTCCTTTCGGTTACTTCAGTGAGTGTCCTCATATGCAGTGTTTTAAGTTGGTCTTTATTTTGTTTTACTTTTATCTATTTGCCTTGAGTATTTTCCTTTTAAGCCCTTGAGATGATTGTAATTACATTAGTACCCTTATCGGTCAAGTTCAATATCTAGATAATTTTTGTTCTGTTTCTTTTTATTTATCAATCATGAAAAAAAATACTGCATTTTCTGCTTAGGTATTATTGTTGATTGTATAGTTGGTATTGATAGACATAAATTATAGTCTTGCTTTTATTATTTTTCTTTAAAGAACTTGGCCTTTATTCCAGAGCCTTAAATACTTAATGGGTCTTCTTTCTGTCTTTTTTGGTTTTATTCTTTATTAATGTGTATCTGGTTTTTGTTTTGTTTTGGGTTCTTGAAAAGACAGGGTTTTCTCTGTGTAACTTTAAAGCCTGTCCTGCAACTTACTTCGTAGACCTGGCTGCCCTTGAACTTACAGAGTGCTGGGATTAAAGGCATACACCACCACCCAGCATGGTTTAAAGCTTTTAAAACTTAGTCCAAAAATGTAGCTTTGTAGATCTAACTAACTACAAATCTGGAAGGAACTCCCCAGTTTCTGAGCCATTGGTCCTTTGTAAGGACTAGAAATACACTTCGGATACTGTATGAACTCACTAAATAAGCAGTAGGGTGACCTTTTCCTGTTCGCATGGAGAAATAGTGTTTAGACTTACACCCAAACTTTTACAATGTTACTGTTTCTTTTTTTGAAAACCATGGTGTGAATGGAAACTCTTGGCAATGTATGGATTCTCTTAAGGTTTATGCACTTTCTAAACTTTTCTAACATAAAAATCCCTACTCTGGGAAGTAGTTTTTTTTTTAAAAAAAATTATTAAATTCGAGAATGCAGAGATCGTGAAACACAAGAAAGGAATAATCACATGCAAATTTTCTCAAATTCAAGTCTCACCTATTTCTTAGAGAAGACGGGAGAGTCTGTCATGGCTCAGAAGGAAGAGAACCCAACCCTGAATTTCCTTAGCTAGTGAAGCTATTATCAGAGGCAAAGTCAAGACACAGAGGTGTGTTGCCTTCTGTGTATCCTCATCAAGGCTCCTAGAAAGTGAGGTCTATCAAAATGAAGTGAATTAAGAAAATGAATACCTGTTCATAAAAAGAAAAAGGAAGGAAGAAAGGAGGGAGGGAGGGAGGGAGGGAGGGAGGGAGGGAGGGGAGAACCAAAAACACTTAGATAATAATGAAGAGTAAAGGGAAGCAGGGTTCTAAGGAGCTCTTCAGACAAAGGAAGTGAGGACTTAAAGAGAGATAGCTTTTTAACGTGACTTTGCTGATGTAGACAACAAGAAATGTAAAAAAAAAATAATAATAAAGCAAAAAAAGAATCAATAAAAAAACATGAAAATGTGCTTTTTATCATATTAAAAAAAATCTCAGTTTTTCTGGGAGAGATAAGGATTCATACTTAATTTACAAACGTAAGGTTTAAAAAATATACCAGTGCTGTAGGCGAGAGCTTGCTCTATAGAAATGATTACATGCCGTACAGTTGTAAGATACATTTGCATTTGGTTTTAATTCTGGGGAAGCACTCTGGGCAGATTTAAAGATGGACACGTAGGTGATGGAGACTGGGACACTGCCAGCACTGACAGGCAGAGTCAAACTGGGCGGCCCTCTGCACATTTCCAGGGCTCACTGTACACCCCATGCAGAGCTAGGAGCATCCTTTGAAATCAGACACAGACTGGCATTTTCCTTTGCCAGTGACGGGTGGAACTGTGCTGCCGATATGGATCACTGGCTCAATCTGAAGCTCTTGCTGGATGACAGATGTGTCAAACTGATTTGACGAGTCGAACTGAAAAATCTGTAGACTGAAATCCTTTTTCTTTGTGGACTACATAGTATTAAATAGAATTTATATAAATGGTCATATCTTCTCTTTAGCTAATAAGTGTTTAATCTCAATTATTTTATTTAAGTTTTTTTAATGATCATCATTCTTTGGAAACATGGAGACAACTCATAAAATTTTATTTTTTGCTAGTTGGTGTTTGACTTCAGATGCAAAAAAAAATGGTAGAAATTTTTTAAAAATACATTTTACTGTATTAACATCAGATTCAAATAAACTCACGTTTCGAATCTTAACTCTTTATAGAATTTTGTGGTAGGAATAAGGTAGAATGATGAAATCTAAAATCTGATCTCTTCACATAGCCATGGAAGTAACCATCGGTGAAGTTGACAAAAATTTCTAAGAGCAGATAAAGTTTAATTGAGTAGCCGGGCTTTCCAGAACTGCTGCTTATATTCCAAATCTAAATAAATCAGGATGCCCAAATTGCTTTAGCAGCTCAGACATTCTGCCCAAGCAACACACTTAACAATCACTTTGCTTCCTAGTATTTTAGCTCATTCTCCCAACAGAAGTGGCTGGAGTGGAACGGCCTGGCTTCAGCATCATTGTGAAAATTAAATGGACCAAGAACTTATAATATAAAGGCATGTTAGGTAGTAGGAACCCAGTAAGTGCTATTTTTCCTTCTCCAGAGATTCTCTTCTTCATGATGAGAAACAATTCTAAATTCATGAAGCATGCACTGTTAGCTTTCTGTCTCTATAGCAAAATACTTGAGAGAAACAACTTTCAAAGAGATAAGATTGGTTTTGGTTCATAGATTTGGAACTTTCAGTCTGTGGTTACTTGATTCTGCTGCCTTTGGGCCTGTGATGAGGTTGAACATCAATGAGAGGAAATAGCAAAAGAGAACGAGAAGGACAGGAATTAAATATCCTTCCAGACCTGCTGGCCCACTTACTGCCAGCTAGCCCCAATCAGAAGTGTGCCTTATCAGACAAGGCATTTTCCATGCAATCAGGCTGGTAAGCCACACACCATCCACCAAATCTGTTTCGTGCCTGCTTCCTCTTCTCCTTAAAGAGAAGTAGAAAACTTACCTGTTTGAATTTTAAACATATATTTTTATCCATTGCTTATCTGAACCAACACAATTGGACTTCTGCGGACAAAGTGAGAATAGTTCTATTTCCTGTTTTAGGAATGAAGAAGAGGCAAAAGTAGCAGTGCTAGGCTCCATCTCAGTCACCTGGAATTTTACTGTCTTGTTCCACCTTCTCCATATAGAAATGGTTAATTGTTCATCAGAAATTTTGGCTTCCTGGTGACAGTCCAGTCAAAACAATGGTTTATAGTAGTGATGACCACACATCTACATTGCCTCTGCATCAAAGCTGAGAAAGAATTCTATGAAAATTTTCTTTTTAAAATCAAAATTTTAATTGAGTTCATTTGATTTTTACCTAAAACCTCATTTAACTCAAATTATAAATGATGGAAAAATGCCTACATTGGGGTTTTTACCAATTTTTTAATGAATGTATTATGTTTTATTTACTAAACAGCTTTGAAACTTGGAGTATATTTTACAAGCTGCTGTGAATCAGCATCTGAGTCTCTTGTTTACCATTTCCTACATCCAAGCCTCTACTTTGCTTTACAAAGAAGAAATATTTATTTGAGTAAATGTCTAAGATTATTAAATGAAACATATTTTATGGTATTTAGATGATATCCTGAAATACACAAAATCATTCATGCATACATAAAAAATGTCAAATAAATCATACATAATAATATATATATGTTTAAATACAGATATGCATATAATAAAAAATATCTCCTAGCCTTCCAGTCATTAATATACTCATTAATATATACATTGTTTTGTTGGATTCTTTTCTACTTAGCTTTCATCTTATTCATATACATATACAAACAGGAATTTTTATTTTAACAATGCAGTCCAAATTCTATAGATTTTCCATTTCCTCATTTTCTCTCTAGAAATCGACATTGAACGCTGTGTACGAGAGTCAGTCAATCTGTTTTGTTGGACTCCTAAAAGTGCTACATACAGACAGCATGCTCAGCCTCCAAAACCAACTTCTGAGAGCAGCGGCGTCCGGAGCTCAGCACCTTACTTCTCTGTGGACTGCACAGATCCTCCAAAGACAGACCTGGTATGTACTAGCAGATACTAACGGGTGGGTGGTTGGTGTGTCCTGGTATCATTAGTGTTCATAATAGTGCCACTTACGTTCTTTTAAGGTGGCTAATTCCTCGTGTATAACTGTGTTCACATGGTTATTTCAGAAGCCTCCGTCTCCTTTCATGTTACAGTGAGGAAGATTGTTTGGGCCTAGTCCTCTAATGACAAGCTTTATTTTATTTTTCACATAAGCATACTAGCTAGTCACACACCAACTTGTCATATGATATCACAGAAGCAAAAGGAAAATATTTAGTACAGCATTGTTAAGGGTTGTTGCTATAATAGGAACTTATTTGTTCATAACAAAGGAAACAAGGTTTGGAACACTATCCCATTATATTTTTCAATATTGGCCTTCTTATTAAATACATTTACAAATTCATTCAAGCTAGCTATTTACAACTTATATGTTCCAAAGATTCCAATCTTACATTATCTTAATTTATTTTCATGAAATTGAATTTTAGGTAATATGTATGCATTGTTTTAGTTAATTTAATGGGGTAGACTTTAAAATATGAAAAAGGGGTATTTTCACATTTCCAGGTGCAGCCAAATTGTATTTGTTAATAAGGAACCTGGGTGATAAAAAGTTGACAGCTTCATGGGTATATGTGAGAGAGGTTGTAAGAAGTTACTAAATGATCTTGAGCAATAAGAATAAGAACCTATATGAGGAAATAAATATTTTCACTGGTCTTTCAAAAGTGGAATAGTCCTCCCAAGGGGAGGATTGGTATTTATTCAGATAAATGTGAAATATTTAAGGTGTTATTTTGAAATTACTTTTCAAATTTTATTTATATATATTAATGTTTTGCATGCTTATATGTGTGTATACCACATATGTGCCTCGTGCCCTCAGAGGTCAGAAGAGTGTGGCTGATCCTATGGAACTGGAATTATAGATGACTGTGAGCCACCATGTAGATGCTGAGAGTTGAACCCCAGTCATTTGGAAAAACAGCAAGCACTCCACACTGCTGAGCCAGCCCTACAGCCCCTATATAAAATGTTTTTAATATGAAATTTTGTCCACTTTCCCATGTTTTTATAAAGGAAAGTAGGTAGAAAATGGGTGTGTGCTGCAGCATACTCATTAAAAGTGGGGGCAATCACAATTTAGATTCGTGTAATGCTATACTGTTGTTAGTTTTTTTCCTCCCTTTTTCATTGTTGTTGTTGCTGCTGCTGTTGTTGTTGTTGAGGTAAGATCTTCCTGTGTGTCCCCAGTTGGCCTGGAACTATTATGTAGAACAGGCTGGTTTTAAACTCACAGAAGTCCTCCTGCGTCCACCTCCCACATACTGGGATGAAAGTCCTACAGCTCCATGGCCAGCTTATGTTAAATTCTTGAAAAAGCTTCTGTGGTAGGAAAAAACATGTTTACTGTTTCATAGAGTTGGCTTCAATTTCGACCCCATTTATTTTTTGTCATATAACATTGAATAATCCTGTCTCTCCACTTACATTTATGAGCACCGACCTACGTATTATGTACCTTATTTTCGTGACTAAATACAGAGACACTCAAGAATGAAGGTGGATTTTGGCTTGCAGTTTCGAAGGTGTCAGTCTGTCATGTCAGGAGCTGTGTGGTGGAACAGAGTAGTTGATGGTGAGCCAGAAAGCAGGGGTGGGGGTTTAGAAAGAGGTCAGGCAAAGCACAGCCCAGGGACAGCGCCATAGTGACTTACTTTCTCCACCGTGACCCTGCCTGCTGCTCTCACCACCTCTCAATCATGGCAGCATGTTAGGAACACGCCAGTGGTTTAATTCATTCATTAATTCAGGAAGCTCTTTATCTACTCATCTCTGAAAATGTCACAAACACACAAAGCAGTGTGCTCACTCTCTTTTATGCATTTCTTAATTCTGTCAAATTGGCAAGATTATCACACCATAATTAACCTATGCTTAGCAAAGTCATTTTACAAATAGCGTAAGAAGTATCTACTCCGTGCAGGATGTATAGCAAGAATCAAAGCTAGTAACAGTTACTTTTACTTGCTTGATAATTAAGGAGTAAAAATTTCAATTCTGTAAACGATATAGAACTCTGTGACAGTAATCTTCTGAATCTAACTCCCTGTGTGGTGGGCTAGTGTTCCAGCATTCCATCCCCTTCGCTGTGTCAGTGGCAGCACCGTCACGTGACATTCCAGATGCACAAGGAGTAAGGCAGGGCACGGGTTGGAGGCCGGCTTTCAAGAGAAGGAATCTTTCTGGCAGTTTTACCCTAGTAATTTCAGTTTAAAATTTCGCTTTGACCTTTACTTCTTAGTAATACTGTTTTGATTTTCAAGCCACTAAAGAATTGCCAAAATAATTATTTCATCTCCTGCCAAGATCTCTCCCATCCAGTTTTTTCCTTAAATAGCAAGAGAAAAAAAAAGGTTCACTGGAGAATTTGGGTCATAGTTTACTAGTTGAAGAAAGAAGAAGACAGTAAAGATACAAACTTTTGATGAACAGGATGAAAGATTTTCATTTTGGGGTGGAGAGGGTAAGAATACAGAAATCAGAGATCAACTTTGGGTGTTGTTCATCGTATTTTTGAGACACTATCTTTTAGTAGGGCATGAAGTTTGTCAGTTTTAGCCCAAGCTAGCTGGGCATATGTCCTCCTGAGTCCACATTCTCAGTGCAGGGGTCCACGGTGCACAGCCCAGGCTCAGTTCGTGAGGTGCAGGTGATGGAGCCGTCCTTTGGTGTGCAGAGCCTCAGCATTTGCCAGCTGTGCTCTTCTAGCTGCAAGGTCAAAATGGATTTTTTTTTAACTGAATGTGCTTTTTAGGAAAGATGGTGGTTAGCTTTAGATATTTTTTGTATCTCTTGGACAAATTTGATGAGCATATGAGTTTGTTTATAGACAATATAACTTATTTATATGCAATATGTGAAAAAGCAAGAATTATTGTTCTTTTTCACAGTAACCTGATTAAGAACACATATAGTAGCCCAAGATCTAAAAAACTAAGTTTTATTTCCTTTTCATAATGGTAACTATTTGCACATAGTATTGTCATGAGTCAAATAGAATTTTCACTGAATGGACTTCAATTTTATAACGAATGCTTTACGTGTTAATTAAATGAGTTTAGTGTCTTCTAAACATTTTTATACATTATGATGGGATAGCTCCTAAAAGTCAAATATAAGTACTAGTGTGTAAAATTTAATCTCAATGATAAACTTTATGTAATTTGAACAGTTAAAAAAGCAGTCTCACAGGGCTTCATAGTTTGCAGGTATTTGGGTATATTCTCTTCCCCTAGACTAATCTCTAAAGTGGTTTTATCCTCTGCTTGAGAGTTGAAACAAGCTAATTAATCTATCTCACATAGAACTCTAAAGTCAGAGTTTCTCAAGATTTCACTGTTTCTTTCCAGTGTCACTAGGTATACATTGACATGTGCAGTCACTCGAGTGCTTTTAAATAAGATGGACTGTTCACAGTAAAGTGCACAGAAACACACACACGCATAAACTTGCTGACATAATATTAAGAGTAAAATATTGACTTAAAGTCCAACTAAACATTATTTTATTATTCTGTTCAAATCAGTAGGTGGACAACAGAGCATTTAGCTTTTCATCTATTCTCTTTACTATATGTGTTCTCCGTATATTTTAGCTATCAGCCCTTTGTCAGGTAAAAAGTGGGAAAAGTTTCCTTCTGTTCTATAGGCTGTCTTTACCCTGCTTCTCAGAAGAGAGGTGTAACTCACCATGTCTTCACGGTGATTTGATCCTTGATCATTGGATGGTGCACTTTTTGTCTCCAATATTAACTTTTTTATCCTAAAGTCCTGTTCTTTTTTGTGGTTTGATAGTGCTTGCTTCTTTCTATTCTTTCTGTGTATCTGTTCTACTGATGTATTCTTCCATGATGATACCTGTTTTATACCGATCTTAGCCAAAGGCCAAGACGCAATGGTACCATTTATAAGCTTAAGTATCTTTTGTAAGACTAATCAGGATATCATAAATCTGTTTCATTTTTCTTAGAAAGGCTCTATTTCTCCTTCAGTTCTGAAAGGTATCCCTGTTAGGTTTAGTATTCTTGATGACAATTTCTTTTTCTTTTTCAAAACTAGAAATAGGCTTTGCAATTTCCTCCTAGAAAACAGTTTTTGGAGATTTTTTTGGTTTTACTGGAAAATATAGCTGTGTAATAGAGAAACCTTGAGGGGGCTGGAGAGATGGCTCAGTGGTTAAGAGCATTGCCTGCTCTTCCAAAGGTCCTGAGTTCAATTCCCAGCAACCACATGGTGGCTCACAACCATCTGTAATGGGGTCTGGTGCCCTCTTCTGGCCTGAAGGCATACACACAGACAGAATATTGTATACATAATAAATAATAAATAAATATTTAAAAAAAAAAGAAAAGAAACCTTGAATATGTTTTGGTGCCTTTCTCTTATAATATTTGGAGATCTTTTTTTCCTCTGGACTTTTGACAGTTTGACTATAACAAGACATCATATAGAGTCTGGCCTTTGTCTATCTGTTATTCTGTATGGCTCCTAAGTGTGGCTATTATGTCTTGCCCATAGTTGGGAGAATATTCTACTCTGATTTCATTAAACAATTATTCTTTGCCATTAACTTCTTTCTTTTTGCCCTTCTTTCAAATATCCAAAAATGTGGATATTTAATGTTCTCCTAAAGGTTTTGAATGCATACTTCATTGTTTGTTTGAGGGTGTGATGTATCTGGACTATTTCAGAAGACCTGGCTTCAGTGCAGATACTCTTTTTCTACATAACCTAGCCTATTACAGAGGCTTTAGACAATATTTTAGTGGATATAGTTATTCTTCATTTCCACAAATTTAAAAATCTGTCTCTTTGCAGAATTTCTAGTTCATATCTCAATTATCTAATTTCATTTAATAGTTTGTTTTCTCTTGGGTTTCATTGAGCTTTTAAATAACCATTTAAAATATTCTTTGTGGTGTATTTC